CGTTTTAAAAAACTCGGAGGAATTTCATCCCATCCGGTAGCTGCATTATGTTTAAGCGAATTAATAAGTAATTTAATTTCATCAGTGTCCGTGCATTCTAAAACAAAAGATGACAGATTAGATTTTACTAGGGTGGTTCCTTTTGTGAACTGCGCAATTGCTGGTGTTTTTTTGCGCTAGCTCCTCTAGCTAGTTCCCAATGTTGATAAAGAATTTATTAACGTTATTACACGACTGAATTGGTGAGATAGAGGATAATAATTGCTGTGCTGTCGATTCTCGAGATTTTTCGTTACAAGCGATATTCTTTATAGTGTTCCATAAATCTTTACCGTTTTTACCTGCTTTTTTTATTTGCTCCGAATCGTACTGCCTTTTTACCTTTTTTAATATTTTTGTACAGAAATTCCGGTACCTTTTGTATGTTATAACAAGTGTTAAATTGTTTGGATCTTGTTTTAACTTCGGCTCTGTTATGGATACATCTTAATAAATCTGGAGTTATCCATGGTTTGAGTATCCTCTTTTTTTGCTGATAATTTGATAGTGTACGTATTATCGAGTATAGCTCGAGACATTAGCTGTACAAAACTATCCGTTGCTATGTTAGGGTCATTGAGTGTTAGAATAGGTTTAAGATCTATTTGCTCCATTGTTTTGTCTAATGTTATATAGTTTATTTTCGAGATTGTCTTAGGAGGTTTGAGATATGTATTTTTTGTTTTGATACATATGATTGAAGAGTAGTGATCGGTGATAGTTGTATCAAGTACAAAAGTTAAAACTGGGAATTTAGATCGAACAAAAGTATGGTCAAGGCAGTTGTTACCTCTTGTTGGGAAGGTATGAGCAGGTAACAACCCATGAAAAGCAAGTCAATTTAGATACTCGTGTGAGTGGTTATTGAAGGTTTTAATATCAATGTTAATGTCTCCGATTAGTATAACATTTTTGTATTTTGAGAGTGACAGGAGTATATCGGTTAAGGCAGATAGAAATGGACTAATATTTTCATTAGAAGGAGATCGATATATGCAAATCACTGCTATATCAGAATTGATTTTAATTATTAGTCCGGAGGCTGATCCGTTAAAGTCTGGCTCTTCGACAATCGAGGATAAAGACGTTTTTATGTATACAAGAACACCGTCTCTTTGATTAAGGTGTCTAGATGTTTTATGAATTGAATAACTGGGTAAACTGGGAATATAGTGATTAGTGGAACAGGATAACCAACATTCAGTCAATGTCAAAATATCACAATCAAACGCTATGCTCTGTAAAGTTGTTTGTAAATTTAAGAAGTTACAGTTAATAGACCGAATATTTTGGTTAAAAATTTTTATATTATTGCTTTGGGTTTTGCAATATTTGATTGGATTTTTCGATGGTACAGAAAAGCGATTCGGATACTGAAAGTTGGTCAACGTTCTCAATTAAATTATTAATGCTATTAGCCATTTTCGTGGTTTAAATTAAGGGTAGAAAGGTTCGTAGGAAAGGCTGTTATAAGGATGGAGTTATTATCTGTTGTGCATATAGTTGAACCGAAATATCGACGTGGTAATTCTACATACGACAGCACTAGAGGCTGGGAAATGCTAAAATTATGTTTTTGTAGGTATACAGCAATATTAATAATTTTAATAATGGTGTTAAGAATATTAGTGTTAATGTTTAGTGTAATATTATAGTTCACATTTTGTATGAATTTTATGGTAATATTATGTGTGTAAATACGTGGTAAGTTTAATTTGTGTGGATGTAAATATAAATATGTTAGTCATTAAGATAAGTAAGTGAGTATAATTATTTAACTTATTGGGACTTAAACAGTAAGCAAATATAAAAAAATATGGGAAAAACATTAATAATATATAACGTAAACAAAATCGAAAATGTTTTTCGTAGTCATGCTCCTTTGGATGTAGACAACTGGTTTAAATTCTCATTTCTTACTATATGGGAGATTTGTCGTCTTTTCTCAGCAGGATTCTCCCATTTGATGTCCAGCAATATGCGTACTGGTTTGATTTTGCAAATTTTCGCGTGATATAAAACACTGACTAGAGCTAGGAGTGAGCTGTTCAGTGATATAAATAGGAGTAAGTGGGCCATCTAGACCCAGATGAGACGAATTCAGCTTATTGTTTGTGTTACGTTTGTTATAATTCTTAACCAGAGACAAGAAATTACTTTTTATAAGAGTATTGGAGAACTCAACTGTCAGATTAGATGTTTTGTTTTCCTTTTTCGAATATTGCCTTGACACATCACGAATATCAGAGACCTGCAGATCGATTTCTATGAGCTTTGATAATTTTATTAGCATATCATATAGATCTTTCTTCGACTCTTGGATCCTCTTGGGTAAATTGCGAATTTCAACACAAGTCTTTATGCAACTGCGATCAAATTATTCCAGCGAAGATAGTTTGTAAGCCACGGTGGTACGCTCCTGTTCCAGGTAAGTAATTTTAGTCTCCAGCGAAGTTATTTGTTCAGAATAAAGTTCATGGACTTTTCTAAGTCGGTGTTGGTATTTTCTATTTTTGAGTTTTGGTTTTTAATATCTAATAAATAATTTTCAAATTTATCCATCCTTGAAGTTTGTACAGACAACAACTCTTTGATCATGCTTTTGATATAGTTTGTTATATCGCTCTTAATTGTGGTTAACTCCTCTAGAAACTCAGGAGCTCCAGCGCCTGATGGATATCGGCGTTTTGTTCGTTTCGTTACATTGTGTGCTATAAATTCGTCAGGCGCTAAGCCTTCTTCAGAACACAATTTGCGTATATCAGAATCGGAACATGAGGGAGGGTGTTCCGTTTATTCGAAGTTTTTGGTGGCGATTTAAACATTGTGAAAACTGATCGTATGTCCACTTAATAAAACGGTGGTATATATTTGTAAGTCTGTTTTAAATGCAATCCGTCGCAGGACCTGTACTATTTTTTATTCTGTGGCGGTAGTTAGTTCCGCCCCGACTCCGCCCACTGATTCTGCACTTAGTAAAAGTGGGTTGGGACTTTGAGAAGCGAATCAAAGGCGATCAGCTGCGACTAGGCGAATTAGTGGCGGCGTAACAAACAAGGTAGTTTAGTAGCAACAAGAAGTGACTCACTCTGATTTTTGTTATCCTGGTATTTCGTACTAATTATAACGTATAATTATTTTACTAAGCTTAATTTCGCGAATATTGCACTCACTAAAAACACGTCCACACTTGCTGGCGTCCAAGGGGGAAGGGGGAAGTTTAATGCTGCTGTGTTTCGTATGGTAAGTGTAGAGAACCGGAGACCCTTTTCACTGAAAACGAAGCATTCCATTCATGTCCTTGGGGTTGGCAAGAAATCTGCTATTTATTTATTTACTTGATTTTTAATCGCGGATGCATGTGGATATCTATTCTATGGGTTACAGCATCGATTTACCATCAAGTGGATGATGTGATCGTTTGTCACCATTAATAATCGTAGTGCCAAAGTTACAGAATGCCCTGCAGTGTATCGTCATATTGAAAACCATAGAATACACAACAGAATGGCTGTCAATCTTATTTTGTACGAGGATCGGCGTCGCCGGGAGCACACATACAAGCAATTACTTCGTATTATAACTACTGCAAACCCAATGCGCTGTGTTGACAGACTGAGTAAATTTACACATTTTAGACTTGATTAATGTTAAAGATCGTCATTAAAACATTCGTTTAAAATTAAATACATATTTATTTGTAAATAGTGTGCAATTTGGCATTTTATAAATAATTTGCATGCGAAATTTGGAAACGATTGTAACGTCAAAACACATCTCGTGTTGATATTTTTATACGTGTGAATTGACATGTTAGTGACCTTTTAGTAGCTACATGGGCTCTGCCCACTTCCACGTTCTATTATATATGTATTGTAGTACTCTATGTTGAAAACACTTGAATAAATGTTTTTAGTGATAAGGCTTTAATCATTATAAATAAAAATGTGAGAGTGAAACGCAATTGGGCTTTACTTTTCACAGAGCTGATTTTCAAATCATCAGAAAAAAAATATCCATTAAATAAATTATAACCTGACTGAATTTAAAAGTGCAACAATTGCACTGTTTTATTCATTCAACTGTTATCTTTAAATTACTTAACTTGTCTTTTATCATATGAATAACTTTAAGATGATAGAAAAATCAGCTCTTGTAGTAATAAAATACTTAAAAAGTACGTACATTACAGACATTTTTGGGTAAAGTGATGTATCCAGCGCAAAAGTTCGACCTGGTCACTAATTCCCTGAAAAATAAAATGTGTTATTGAAGTTACCCTTTCAGATGTCAAACGTACCCAGGAGTGAGACATAAGTTCCAGGCTATTAGGTAAATAAAGATTCTTCTGGGTCGTCACAACCAGGAAGTGATCACACTTCACATTTTTTTTACTTTTTATAAGCCAGTGCTTGACCACAATCCCACCTGGTGGCAAGTGGTGATGCAGCCTTAGATGGTAAATCGCACTATCTTAGCGTAACAAATGCCTATTCACTCTAGCCTGGAAGACGCACAGATTGTATACGAACGGAAAGATAGCAAATTATTTCACTCCTTTTATGTACGCAACAAAAAAGTCGAAGTAAACCGTGTGGTTCTAATGCGTGGAATATCGACAACAAAGGGGTGAAGACCCGCCGACCGCCCGGTCGTCCGATGATGAAAAGGAGAGTGAGGAACTAAAGCGCGTCGCTGATTGATGCAGTGGTGGCAGGCCGCGGGGGAGAAGAGTGTCAGTATTGCTCACAGAAATCGTAATAATAAGGCAACTACAACAAAACTACTGACAAAACTGCTACGTCGGTGCAGTCAGTCAGCGCCTTGACAAGAGGTGTGAGCGCCGTGCCTCGACAGTACTGAGGGTGCAAAGGCCCGTTTGAGCTTACAGCCGTACAATGATACAATGAAACGGTGCCGGGCCTGGGTGTCTCCCGTTAATTGGCGCCCAAAAATGGATGATGGATTATAATAGAAAACGTATAGGGCCGCTGCCTTGGGGTCGCTGGGGCGCGTCTGGAGCTGGAGCTAGACGCGGCAGCATGCGGATCGCCAGCCGAGCGCGAGGAGCTGCAAGATCACCTAGCAGCCCCTCGAATCCCCTCATCCCCACCAGAGATGGTTTGATTTCGGTAGAGTCCTCTCGGACTTGGCAAGCGGCATCCGCCGCTGGTGGAGTGCGCCGCATGCATTGGACAAAAAATATGAACGTAAACGCATTGCGGGCGTACTATAGGACGAAAGGGGAAGAAACTGCAGGGATAGCGTATCGGGCTTGGATGCATTGCTTTTTTGCTGAGCTGGAGCCGTCTATTCCCGTCACGGAACAAAACCTGGCAGACCAAGTTCGGTACATCATGCGCTCGAAAATATTTGATGATGCCGAGCTCAAACGACTACGACGTGAGGCCATTCCCTCGTCGAATGAATTGGCTATGGCTGGGGATACGGCTCCTCAGCCGACAGACCAGCACCCACGCGTGGAAGCCGCTATGGATCTTCAAGTTGTGGTTGATTCGGACGACGATGAAATGGTCTCCCACGAACTAGAGCAAATGAGGAGCATATTGGAAGAGGCGATTTCGGAAACGCGTAGCATGCCTCTCGTAAATCGACCGCGACTTCCCCGCAAGCGAAATCGGGCTATCGTGAGGCCTCTTAACCCAATGCTGGTGACCTATTTGGAAGCGAGCCGGGACCATTGCGAGACGGACTTAATTCTTTTTGGCGCCGCAGTTGCAGTTTGCCGTATTATTGGCGCCAAACTTCCCATGGCTGGACGCGCTACTAAACAAAGTAGCGCCATCCCAGCCTGGAGAAAAAGAATTGAGTACCGTTTCGCAAAGGCAAGGGCCCTTATCTGCAGACTGACGAGCTTCAGGGCGGGTAATAATAGACCGGGGGTTGTGCGCACCGTTATAATGGCGTTTGCTGGGACAAATATCAGTTTGTCCTAGCTGGATATCACGCAGAAACTAACGGAGCGCATAGACGACCTGAAGCAAAAAATCGCTGCTTTGGGGAAGCGGATTCGACGATTTACCGAGAGGTCAAGGCGGTTCAACCAGAATCATCTCTTCCAAAGTGATCAGAAGAGGCTCTATAAATCATTGCAGCGATCAGTGGCAAGTGGAACGGGCCCAGCAGCGTATCAGGCAGACACTGTTGTATTCTGGCGCGGCCTGTGGTCAGAATCCGTAAACCACAGCGAGGGCCCTTGGACGGAAGTTGTGGCGAGTGAGTGTGCGAGTATTACGCCCATGACCTCTTGTCATCATAACTCCGGATGACGTAGCTGAGGCGGTCCGTAGGGCCTCGAACTGTAAAAGTCCGGGTCTCGACGGGCTGCATCACTACTGGCTGAAGGGGTTCGTGGTGTGTCACGCTGTGCTCGCCAGACAGTTTCAAGAGGCTCTCAATCAGAAGCCGCTCCCTAGCCTTTTCACTACTGGGTGAGGTGTGATAGTTCGGAGATGTTCTATATATACTGTTTATGATTCGGAATTTTGATAGCGCGATTTAGGCTTGGGTGTGTTTCGCTTGTGGCGCGACGACAGTGCCGCCACAAGTCGGTGCGAGTCTGACACAACTCGTCCTTGGCCCCGCGAGGCGTGTATGCGTAGGCATATCCCCGGGTAAAAAATGAAGAATAAACATGAATGATGATATTTATAAAACTCACTTTCCATATACTTCTTGACAGTCAGCGAAGTCATAAACAGGTAGATTAACTTTCTGCAGCAATGTTTCGCCTCCCATTCCTCCGAAACCCTTAAATTATAAGTGTGTTACAATAACTATATAGAGAACTGAACAGCAGAATTGAATAGCTGATTTCTACCAGTTTGACCGCCGCGTTGGCCTAGTGGTCGTAAATGAAATTGCTTCTTGAGGTCTCATATTCAAATCCCGGGTCGGGGCAAAATTAGTTATTAGATTTTGCTGTCAATAAATACTTTGTAGCAGCCCGGAGTCAGGAAGTTGGTGAGGTTTCATCCCCTGCCTTGGAGAGCACATTAAGTCGTTGGTCCCGCACCTGGTCTCTCTCCGGCCGTATCAGATTACCGTCCTATTAGACTATAAGAGTGAGAGAATAGAGAGTCCATCTGTGCGTGTACATATGCTGGTCTCTGTTGAGGCGGCCGGTGTAAATAAAATTCGGTCTGGAGGACATTGTTATTATAAGACGAGACAGTGGGACAGCCATATAGCTCAACGGACAGACAATCAATGTGTAAGAAAGGTGCCAGAGTGGCAGCCTCGTACCGACTAGCAAAGTGTGGGTCATGCAAGAAGTCGGTGAACGACGGTGACTCAGGTTTTGCGTCATTCCCTGGGAGATACCAAAGTTCAGCAGTGGATTTGTGAAAGACTGAATGAATGACACCGTTCAACGGAAACAGAAAGCGGGTCCTCAACTTCATTTTACTACATCCACTACACTTTGCAGATTTTTCTAGTTTAATTTTAACTAATATTTATCCGACTACAAAAAAGTAGGAGGAAGGTACTTAATTCGGCTATATAGTTTTTTCAACTACTACATACTTTTTTAATTCGTCAATATTTGAAGATTATTTTTATACTAAAAACGTTACATTTGAGGGATGAGTCAAGGGTAAAAAAATTAAGGGATGAAATATTAAACGTACATTTTTAGACGACATTCTGATTGTTCTTAAGGTAACAATCAAAATGTCGTAATATTCCTTAGTTCATTCAAAATGGGAAAAAAACCAAACTTTTAATAAAAAGCATAAGCTAAATTTAAAGAACTAACAAGTAGTAAAATAATCTCTACGTAAAAATAGAGTTGAAAAAAATCCGTAAAATTTGTTCCATTTCACGCATAGGTAGTGTTCTCGAAAATATAAGAAACCATTATACATAACGGAGGACCGAGCTCCTTTGTGTTTTTAAAAAGTGTGACGTCACTAATGTTATCTTCATGGTAATCACTCATCTTCAATTTTCTAATGAAAACACTAAAAGTATACTGAAAGCCTCGTTTATTCAACCGACAGCGTAGCGACGTATTTAGAGAGGTGTGCACTGTCCGACCGCCCAAGCGAGACTGCCCTAGCACGCTTTGTGCGGCCGTATTTATAGCGTGGCGGACACGTGTTCACCGGTTTAGGTTAGGTATTGAATTATGTGAATCATCGCGCGGCGGACACGTGCTCACCGGTGTGAATCATCGCGCGGCGGACACGTGTTCACCGGTTCAAATTAGGTACCGAATTATGTGAATCACCAGATATTTACATTGTAATAATCAAACAGTGATTAACTAATGGCTTATGAACTATTTTTAACACAATCAAATTATTAAACAGCGTAATTAATGATTAATCCTTATTATAATCGACCAACTATTGTTGTTGCGCCGATATACATATTCTTAAAAGCTTTTGGATTCGGACCTTTACTCTTTACACTTTTTATAGTATAAAGGTGAGAAACGAGCTCACAGCCCACTTGATGGTAAGAGTATCCAGTGGCTCATAGACACCTACATTTATCCTCAATTTGGTGACTCACGAAGGTGACCTGCAACAGAGATCGTTGGTCTTAGTGAAAGACAAGAACCGACCACCACTGTTTTGGCTTCTCGGCAGAGTGGTGAAGATGCATCCAGGACGAAACAACGTCAACCGCATAGCAGACATATTGACCAAGAAGGTGTTATCCAGCGGTCGTACAACAACATATGTCCTCTACCGGTCACCACTTCGTCATATTGAAGTGAAATACTTCAACCCGGGCAGCATGTTGCGGCAACACCGACTAATAATCAGCGGTATAAAACAAGGCGCCAGAGGGCGCCCAGCGGCAATCTTCTTTTAGAAAGGTCTTACCATTGTACCAGCAAAGATATTAGCAAGTCATTATATCATTTTTACCAGCGACCGTATTTTTTTATTTTTTTATTTTGTTACATCCTATTGTAAACAAAATTGGTCGTAAAACGTCACTGAGGGCTAAGATGCCTCCTGTCCAGTAAAAAAGAGTCTCCGGCTCTCTACATTCACCGTACGAAACACACCAGCATTGAGTTGGTATTTCACACTGGTATTCTATGAGAGCGTGGTCCTACTCCGGTAGAGCCGACACATTCGTGCTACATCCAGAATATAGCTGCAGTGTGACTCTACCACGTCTACACACACATAGGTATGTCTTACACACACATTTGTATGTCTTAACACCGACTTCGGAGGCTATTACGTCGAAAATATTTTATTACTTTTAATTGTTTAAAGTCTACTTTGAATTTTTATTAAAAGTTTAATTTTTGATTACCAATTTTGTGGATGCTTTTCATCACCTATGCGGACTGCATTATGATGGTATTGGCTGTTTTTATTCTTTTTTTATTTTTTGTTTAAAAAAGTTACCACTACACTAGGATTTTCTCCTGTATCTTGGGGGCTGCTTAAATATAAAAATGTGCTTAAATTTCACAAGGATAAACATCCAAACCCGGAACAATTATTTACAGCCCTCAGCGCTGCAACTCATTGCTAAGTCACTGCGACACGAAGCCGTCGAGTCGTATTTTTTATTATATATCAAAAAGAACTCACCAATACGGACCCCCACCCGAGGAAAGTTACTTGCGTATCCGTCGGAATAAGTCTTTCATGAGAATACTCAATTACACTGGCCTTGACATCACTCTCGGCAGAAAGATTCTTATGTAGCTTCACTACCGCGAAGTTAAACTCCAGGGTGTTGGGCTTGTAGTTTGGGTGGAAGAAGATCTCAGTTACTCTGTAGATGTCGCCACCGGAAGTCGCGTTGCTGGACCCCACGCGGACGGTGAGCATCTTGACGTATTCGCGGAAAAACCGGTTGTTATATTGCCTGATGGGTATTGAGAATAGTTGTTTGATAAAGAGCGTGATTCAGAAATACTGTAAGGATCAGCATCACAATCCTCAATATTAACTTGTTACAGTTTTATGGAAACAGGAGATGTGCAGCAGCATCTTCTTTATAAGAACGAAATGATACTAAATAAAATGCAGCTGGCAACCCGTGAGGGATTTTTTTGAATACGGGTGACAAATTAACACATTCCACTTGATGGTAAGTGGGTGGATACTGTGGCCTATAGACACTCGTATCTACATCTGTCTCCGATTAAGTATTCAAATGCCGATGTAATGCTACTCCTGAGGACCAACATGTAATGCCTTATTTGCAGCAAAAAGGGCCTCCGGTTCTCTGCACTCAGACTCACTGACTGGGGCAACTATGGCTAATATCCCCCTTCTAAGGAAATCTATTGAGGAGACCTATGTTCAGTAGAACCCATGTCAATAAATGATAGAAGGAGTCTTAGGTTAAGGCCTCAGTAAAGACCATCCGATGGAGTGGAGTATTCGGCGTGCATGATAACCATATGCTCTTACTATGTACTATGACTATACAATTCGTGAATAATCACGAGCATGTGTTTGTCATCCCATTGAACGCCCGCACCTCGGCCGGATCTTCCTTGAAACCTTAGCCTAATGTTTATACTCTCCTAGTTTAGAATGTAGCAATCCTACAAACTACAAATTCTAAACTAATCTGAAGTATACTGTCGCATTTCTCAAAGGTGACAAATGTCTACTGTCTTTCTCTGACTGCGGTTGCACTTATTTTCGCTATCGTACGTACTATGAGCCGTGTAGTGGCGATGTAAAAATATTCAATACTCCATATCTTCCCGTAGGAGTTGTAGGAGACGACAGAGGGAAACTGAAACAGGAGATGGGCAGGAACATCTTCCTGATAACAACTCAAAATAATAAAAAATTGCGGTTGCTAACCAGCTTGTCAAGCGTGGCAACTATGGCAAAATCCTCTTATGATACAATCAACAATCTTATCCATGGTTTGGTCGCTCCTGTAAAATAGCATCATGCTATAAGCAGGAGTGCTACCAAGCCTGGGCTGACGCATC